CCCCCAACTATCCTACTCATTGCCTTTCGACTCACTGTGTGTCAAAAGAAACACCGGTGGGGAGAGGCGTGTCAATCTACCCTGGTCGTTTCAGACTTTTCTCGAGGTCCGAAACCTTTCGTTTCTCAAAAAATGTCTACATTCGAAATGAGAAGAAAATGAGCGTTCAGAGCGTTCTCGTCATTTTGTCATAGAATAGTTTCCAAGAATGAGGGAAGGACGGATTCTTCGGAAATCCCTACCTTAAAGACAGCGTCCGCGCCCAAGTAGTACATGGACGTCCTTCCTTGTGCAAATAGTCGAGCCCCCAAGCTAGAGACTCTCCAACTCTCGCGACTCCATAAGCGAGAAGTGAGCTACCCGCTCAAAGTTATAGTTCTAACGCCCGTGCAGTTGGACCGTCCACTTGCAGATACCCTTTGACGGAGGGCCGCTCAGTTCTTCTTTGCCGGGGCGGCGGGCATTAATCGGAATTGTATGACCTTTTTGCTGTCCGCGCTCGTGCCCATAACCAACTCTGCTCTCTTTTGTTACATTTTACTCATTGAGAGCACATACAGTCAACTGCAACCCAGCTTGCAAGGTAAAAGGCATAAAAAAATCACGAGTGATACAATTTTTGTGGTGCGAAAGCCCGACATGCACTAAAAACCGCAAGAAAGCTGTATCCAAATTCGGGCGCCAAGATTTTGAAATTTATTTTTTTGAGTGTTTTTCGTTCGTGTTTTTCGTATTCTTTTCTTTGCCCTGGATTATACCCACTACTGGGATATGCGGTAAAAAGATTTGTGAGCCAGGGGTTGCGCAGAGAGCGCAGGGCGGTGTGACTGTCAGGGAGCGGTTTTGTTTATGGTGTTCTTAAGAGCTCTTGCTGCTTTTCCTGCTTTTTCCCTTCTTTGAGGAATTGCTTATCAGCTACTGTTTCATAACTGAACAGCAACTATCCTTGACACTTTTATCGTGGGAGCTGTCTTTAACCGCTTCCAGAGTTTGACACCTTCGACTTCCGAATGGATACAACAGATGCTTAAGCTCGTGCGACGATACTCGGACGATTCTCAACCGCCTGAGCGAAGGAGTAAGGTACTGTTGTGCATCGTCTCCGAAGTGTTGTTCTTACGGCAACAAGATTAACGAAACTTTGACGAACAGCAGATAGTTTAACAAAATGCAAAACGCCTCTGAGCGTATCTAAATGACATTTTTCTAATCTCTTCCATAATTTAGGTAATGTTATTGACGACTATTTTAACAGATGTGAATATACACATGTTGTATTGGATGCAAGACGTGTTGCAGAACTCTTTCGAAAATGGGGGAAATTTCAAAGGAAATCGCTGAAGCATTCTCTCTGTCGCGTGAGCGACATGGAGCGTGCTCACGGCTTGGCAGTTGCGATGACATTTTGTGTCGACCAGAGTGGTCAGCAAGTTGACGGGTTTATCCATGGAACGTGCTCCCAAAGACTGGTTCCCGGATCGGCTCCTACGCGAAGTAATCAGGCTTTCAGTTCAGTCCTCCAGGCGGGAGGTAAAACTTTGTACATCGGCTAGCCCCCGCAACTCATCGTATAGGCCACATCCCATTCAGCGTGCTACTGACGATGCTGAACTGGATAGTAGAATGTGTGCCGTGACCGGCTTCAGAAATAAGGGATTGACGTAGCGACGAAGTGTTCATCCTGTAATTTTCTGTGCATCTCTGATTGATGCATGTTTTTCATATAACACTTCCAACACTAACTTTCACGTTAGTACGATATTAGCTATATGAAGGGCCGTTCGGTGATAGATATTAGGTTTGGCGGAAAAGTTCTGTCACCTTTTTCGAACTCAAAAATATAATTGCCCATTACCTGAAGAAGAGATGACCCTAATGTTGATCACTTATTCATCAAAAGAGTGGTCTTCCTAATAGTATACATCAAAGAGTGGTCTCCTAATAGTACCACTCGCTGACTCCTAGACTTATCTTCATGCAGTATGGAACGTAAGAATGTTATCCGCTACCGGGACGCACCGAACCCCTCCAAATGTTCTGATATGTGGCACGCGCATTCGTCCGACGAAGTTTCTAGCCTTACCTCGTCGCCAACAAAGCTGGGTGTGGCTCTCCCCTTCACTGTTTGTAACACAGACATTGTCACTTCTGAACTGGGCGAAGTTGCCTCCACGTAATTCATCGTAATAAAAGGATAATAACAGGAATAAAGTCTTTGCCGTGATCAACCTTCTGTGGGATGCCGGCAGCGCATTCGTACTTCCATTCAGAATACGTAGTGGGTTATTGATGCGATGTGGCCTATACAATGACTTGGCGGTAGGCCAGCCGATTGTACAAGTCAGTGTTTATATCCTCCAGATGAATTCTCGGTACCGATGTCACCTGTCCCGAGGTAAGAAGGCTGGTTGGCCTGGTCCGTGAGTTCGACCCGGGATTCAACCGGGACCGCGCGAATGGTTGAGCGCCCCCACTTGCCAGCTACACATCTCCGCCTATCCATCGTAATAGGGACGAGAAAAGACGATAAAATCTCGAAAAGTCTGAGTTCAAGCCAAGATTGAGATGATGTCCAACTTTGCGTCGCGCCACCCCTGCATTGAAGCGACGGTATCCATGAGGTGCTCAAAAATAGGCAAGGACCCCGCAGTAACACTGGTGATTTAAAAAAAATGTGACAGAACTCTTCCGCCAACCTAATAGTATGTTGTTAGATAAGGTAACAACGTTCCATTCATGAACTTTTCGGAGAGTCTTGGCTGGTGTTGACTCTGTCGCTCTGCTATCCTTTGGTCACTACAGCGTGTGCGCCTCGTGACTTCGCCTCCAACCATTCGAGAGATCATTAGCGTGAACTGTTAGTACTGAAAAAGTCTTAGCACGATTAATACCACTTTCTGACGCGCAGTTCTGCTCTGCACGGTTCAGTGCGTGCTGAATCAGTCTTCAATCTATGGTCCTGTTTAGTGGCAGGATCTCTAAGCTAACACCTAGCCCTTGGCCTGACCTCCACGCTCCAAAGTACGGTCCACTTCTTCGTATTTCCTCTCATTAATGGTCATTTCCCAAGTGCAGCGCTTATCACACTTCCAAGCCCACCGTTCGTTGGAAACAGGGACAGCCTAGCAGTGATGGAGTTTTGTCTTTACATACTAGCTTTCGTGGAATGGTAAAGTAGCGTTCACGTACTTACCTGTTGGTGGCTCTTACTATTACTCATAAACATCTTTCAGCGTTCACGTATCAGAACTCAAGCGGATTAGCGGACGAATCGTTTCGACTATATCGCTCAAAGATATAAGCATGTTGGCTCACAGTGGTCGGTGGTCGCAGATTCGTCGCAATGAGAGAAAAACTGCGGACAGGGGCTGACTCTTATACGCCATATCACAACCCAACCTATTTCCCGTCACCAGTGTTCCATACTATCCCCGAATTATTTACTTGTTGTAAGCAGCTCCCCTCTCTTTTTACTTGACCTATGAATTTTGGGAGTATCCTTGGATCCTATGGTATCTCATCAGCTGTTATCATTTTAGCCACCCACCAATAATGTTCATGTCCAGCCCCTACATCGCTCTTAGGACCAACCTTCCAATGTTGCTGTGACGCGACTCATGGATTTCGTGATACTCCTTTTTGAGGTCCCTTGTCAGCCCTTGTCAGCTGTTATCCCACCCCACTCACCAACGATATTCGCGTCTAGCCCCCTATATCACTACTTGAGCTAACGTTCCAGTATTGCCACAATCTGCGCTACGAATTTGGTGATGCTTCCTCTTTAAGGCCATTTTTAGCCCTTATTAGCTGTTATTCCCTGCCACCCACCAATGACGTTCAAGTACAGCCCCCTGTATCACTTCCTTTCACCGTTGTGTAACGTGCTACGAATATGGTGATGCTCCCTTTTTGAGGCTCCTTGTCAGCCCTTGTTAGCAGTTTTGGCCGCCACCCATCATCCAGGTTCCCGTCGGATTCTCCATATCACGTACCAATTTGAGCTCGCTACGGCTGAATCGAAGAAAGTTATGAATTTCACTCACAACACACTCAAACACGCTCACATGCTAACGCTATCTGGCAGACTTAAAGGCACATCCCGCGATAAAATAAGGCTATGACCTCTCAAATGTGTCGGACGATCCGGAAAGCGATTTTTGAGGCTGCGCTACTTTCAAAATGTGAAAGACGGCAAGAACTCCGCTAGAAGCTGACTAATTAGGCCCATGGACATCCCTCAGGCCCATGCCGACCCTCACCGGCTGCTAGCTACCAGCTAGTAGCCACTATGTTATCTTTCTCTATAACATTTCGGACTGCTTTTTCTGCTGCTTTTCTCTGCTAATCAGATACTTAGCACTTTTTTGTGCCTATCTGAGTTCCGTTTCTCGCAATTTGCGGTCGCAACTGTGCCTTTAAATTATATGCAGCAGTTTTTTCTCAAGAGATATTCCTTTCACGAAAATCTTTCCTAGGGTAACTAATGATGTAGTTCCTACAACTTTCTTTTCTTGTATTATCCTTTAAATTTATCATCCAAGTGAGAACTTTTCAGGCGATGTCGGAATTACATGCTTTCTATACCAAATATCGTGAACTTTATGAGCAGGAGTTGGTAACCCAGCTGATGATCCCTGTATTGCGAGAAACCGAAAATGAGTCAAGTTCGCGGATTCAGGTGTGCTCAATGCTATCTGCTCGCAGTATCCTTTGTCCTCATAATTCTATTGAACTACATCTTGCGGCAAAAGCGAAGGAACAACCCTCAATTTTTTTTTCTCTTTTTCTTCTCGTTTCTCATTGCTCTGGATCCAGGCAGAACTTTTCTATTTCAGTACCTGATGATCAACATATTATTCGACGTTGCAAGGACATTGTCATTGCATGATGATAAGGGACTTTTCGAATCCGTTTTGAGCGTCGTCCGACAGCTGTTTGTTGCTTCGATTTTGCGGACCACGGCCGAAACCGTTATAGAAGACGAGAATGACGCCGAGACCATTGTGGGTCCATCACGTCCACCACCGCGAGTATCAACACCGCGGGCTGGCTGTGAGTTTGCTCAAAATCATAGGAAATTTCTGTGCTGTTCGGCTTGAAGAAGGTATATTTCTCGTTCCCACTGATCACTGCCGATGCCTTGTGAAGACCTGTGAAACTGCTATAGCATGATATTTGTGCATACTTGGAAGAGTCTGCAGTTTTCACCACTATGAAACGTGTACGTTGACATTGAAAGTAAAACTGTGGAAGTGCGAAGCGCCATCCCCCCCCCCCTAAGCCGGAAAACGCCGAGATTTGCCATCCTACATGCATTTGTATGGGTATTCTGGTTTAGACTGATTCATCACTGTCGCGTGAACATGGGAGACCATCACGAAAAAAATCGCAACTCCAGGTCTAGAAAATCAAGTTATGGTAGATTCAAGCGCAATTGCACCTTAGACGGATACTGCCAGCGGGGTCATCGACCGATTATTACGAATCCGTCTTCCACATCTGCTGCGTACCTCCTAGAACAAGGTTTTCTAGGGGAGGCTAGGTGCATACTCGCAATCAATGTGAATAAGGGGCGTAAGAATGTGCCCAGGTCGAGTGGTTACGTGGTAGGCCTCATACGTATAGGCATGCGGTTTTTTGCCTTTCTCCGGCAGGGATCTCTGTACTCGCATGACTATAGGGCCTGATAATGCCGTAACGTACTTTTTCTGAAGAAAGGAGCCATTGTGTACGATTCCATACTTTTAGTTCTCGTCCATTCTTCGGATCATTTCTCTCATCCATCTCCAGCTTTAACCTTTGGAATTTAGGAATTCCCTATTCTACTTATGGGATGCAGGTTGGGTGGGGTTTTTACTTGCACTGCTTGTGAACGTACTTGTCGTTGTCATTTTCCACTAGTTGCCATCACTGTCTCATCAAGCTATCTCTGGCTGGTACCGACGTCCTACTAATGCTGGAACGTGTGCCATGATTTTGCCAACACTAAATTTCTACGGCTTACTGCCGCTTGAGAAAGAGATTCGTTTTTGATCCATCCGCCAAAGCACCGAGAAAAAATTCCGATGAAGCAAAGTGTACGAAAAAGAGATGATGAGAGATAAACCAACTGTTGGCGATGCCTACTCCCAATGCAGTAGAAGTCATGGCTCATTTTGACATATTTTACAAGTAAGGGGAATTTGTTGGAGTGTAAGAATATCCGAAGTCAGCTGGGCGTATCTACTGTATACGGAGCCCTACCAACCAGGGTCAAGCATACGTCGCGGAATCCGCGACGAGAGGGATCGTATTCGACTTTCCTCAGGAGGGATGGGGGTCGTACTTGCAGAGATCAGTACTAAACACACCAGTGACGTAGCTTGCAGGATAGGTCGTGTGTTCGGAAAAGAAGTCGTGTGTAGTGTGTCGTTGCAAACGGTTGGGCGTGTCAGGCGGGATGAGTTTGGCGCGGTGCCAAAGCCGTCCTCACACAGTTGTGAAGCGAGCCAGTGATATGACTGTGTCATAGTTTCATAGTACTAGTTTTCTGCCACTTTTTATCACATGCGCGCTTCAGCAAGAGGGCAAAGAACGACTTCACGGCGTGACACACTCATACTGTCTGACACGCCCAACCGTCCGCAGCGAACTAGAGTATACATGACGTGTCCCATGAAGGAGCTGACCAGCGCCTCTGTGCATCGAATTCTATTCGAAAAACGATGAGGAGGAGCTGTACTCAAAGTTTACCTAGCTTTCTACATGGATTTGTGGGCTTTGCAGGGGGAGATCCTCATACTGCAGCTGAAGCTGACTTTCAGTAGAAATCCGCGACGGGCGATTTCTTGACATGATTGAGTTACCGCAGAGATGTTCGGCTCTCGAGAAGAGAAAGCCTTCTTCTTCCCGAAGCTTTCTGCGTTGTGTCTTAACGAATTATGGTTTGAAAGGTGAAAAAAATTTGCGATCGCAAAAAGTTCTCCGCGTTATTTTTGTGATTTCCCTCGACGGGCGAATTTTGTTATAATTAAGCTACAGCTAAGTAGTTGTGCTCATACAGGAGGTGAAACATTTCTAGTTTCCAATGCGCTGTAGAGCTCCGCCCTACGTTATGCCAGAACGAAGCTATTCTTGTTGAAAGGTGGAGAACTCGTAGTCGCCCACAGTGCTCCGCTTAATTTCTGGCCAGAAGCCGTCATGCAGGCTTGATGAAACCTGTAATGTTTCTTTCATAGAGCCTATACATACAACTTGAACCGTCCTTACAGCTCTGCGAAAGATGGTTTGTGAATGAATTTATACCCGTTCAAAAATATAATGTAGCGGTGGGCCGATAGCTCCAATTTCGTTACGCGAGGTAGCCGCAGCAGCTCCATGCCTTGCTTTCGTTTTTCCTGTTTCGCTCGAAGGGCTCCACTGTAAGCTTTTTTCCAGTTCCATTTCCTACATTACACCACTCAGAAACAAATCCCTTCAAATTTTAGCACTTTTGTTCGACTTTTTTTGTAGTCACATAACATACAGCATATACAGCTACATTCTGAAGAACACAAAGGTGCTTTTATACCCCCGCAGTCACTGGGGGAGGGAGGGGGGGGGTGGGTCGTACGAACACCCCTTTCAAGGGAGGGGAGTTCCACTCCCCCCCCCCTCAACTTTTCCGCGACATGATGCTTGACCCTGCTACCGACCACGGGCGGAACGCATTTCAACAGTCAGACTATTTTTGGTACGTCCTTGTGACGACTCCCTTGTTTGAGCTTACCCAGAAGAAAATGTAGCGGTAAAACAATTTCATCAAGCAAAAACGAATTTATATGGTGGTATCGGTTTGGCAACATTGGCAGGGTGACTGTTTCCAGGAAACAGACGAAAAATTTGGTTTAAAGCTGAAACTTCATACTCTACTAACTTACTCTGATATTCAACACATTTTTGTCTTTCCTTGAAGAAATTCATAAAGCGAATCCGCGGGAAGATTCTTTACTGACCTTACTTTGCAACGCTTGGATATGACGTATACTTGGCGCACAGAAAGTCACGAGATAAAAAAGCGCTATCCGATAAAGGGAACGAAACGACACGCAATGCTCAGTGGGAATAAAAACGGAGGTCCTCTGCTACGTAATAGGAGTTGTGAAGCTACGTCAAACTATTTGAAAATTCTTTTCAGCGCTCAGCTTTGATAATCTCGAAGTAGTCGCACAGAGTATGGGGGAATTGCTTTCCGAACGATGGCCAGTGTTGAACATCAACACACTGGAGAGCATTGTAGGTGAGTCCTTCACGAATTTCATGTTTCCAGAGCACTCTTATTCTGTTATAGTGAGGAAACTCAGCTGCTGACCAGAGAAGGCGCCCCCAAGCTCTCCATGTAACTTAGGCAGGAGACCTAGATAGGTCGACAGAGCCTGGAATGGGGTTGCAAAAATCCAAAGAAAACCCGAGAATCGAGAAAAAAAATCGAAAACCGGAATCTCGCGCGCCACCTACAAGAGGTCAAATTTGCCAGAAATACAGTGATGGCATATTAGCTAGGTCGACCGGAACTTCGTATTGGCGCCATGACCTATCGGTAAGGTTCTCGCTTGCAGGCGGCGCAGTTGGGGTTTCCGCCTCCAAAACGAGAATATTCGCCTTTTCTCCAATAACAGCTCCCTGTTCTAATTTTGATATCCATTCGATCGGGCCCTGTGTCACGTCACACGTCTCTAAAGGATTCGTAGCTCTGTGGCGTCGTGCCTTTTGAGGTAGCGGATCAAAGAAGATCCGCACAGACCGCACATGCTACACCTACGCCACAGGCCCACACATTTGTAGCGTGGTGGACTTTGCGTTGATCCAGCCTTATATTCGAATTTATCGGCTCAAATTACCCTGGATACACGTCTCTAAAAGATTCTTCGTTTTGTGGCGTCGTGGCATTGTGCCTGTTGCGTGAGCACCGATTGTTTCCTCACCAAAAGGATGAGATATTTATGTTCTGCTCGTCAGACTACCTCGAAGGCTGGCACTTATTTGAACTCACAAGTTGGACTTCATGGGCAAGAATTACAGAGGAAATTTCGGAAAATTCGAAAATTCTCACACCAACGAAAGTGCACCAGTTTCGCTTGTGAAGCGATAGCATTACCGCGAGGCCGCGGCAACAATATTAATTGATGAGTCCTTCCCATTGATGTGCCATCACTGCGCTACTAGCAAACCTTGAACCTTGTAAATCGCTTATGAAACTCAGTTACCAATTTAGGATTCTATATTTTTCAACTTTGCTTATCGAGCTTAAACGGTTTACCCAGGTCTCCGTCCTAAGTCTCATGGGGACTCGAATGACATTCAACCATGTGAGTGGAGAGAATCTTCAAAACATTGTCCATTTTGTTTAGTAGCTTGAGTAGGGCCTAGATCAAGAAGGTTACCTCACTAGACAACCCGCAACAAGATGTTGACCTTGCTCAGACTCATCATGCTATGGCATTTCGTGTGCGGTGGGACCCACGTAGGAATTCATATGTGCCAGTTCAGTGAGCCGTAAAGAGAAAAAAAACAAAAAAAAACGTTGACTACGATCCGAGCAAAATCTATTTTACGAGCGTTTAAAGAGGCGAGGCACTGCTGCGACCCGACTCGACCGGAAAACGGTAAAAACGGCAGATGGTCCTACATGCACACTGTAGGGTCCCATACAGTATCAAGTGAACCCAACGCCTTTATATCTGTACGTATAGATGTAGGACCACTGGCAAATTCCGACTTCAATGGGGTGAATCCGACTTCAATGGGGTGAACAATTCTGCGGATGGCGACGGTTCTTCCTTCTTTTGACAGCAGCAGCGTCCTTGTTATGACGGAAATGCGGTTCATAGAGTAATCACAATGTTAGCCAGCAGTTCAGGTGTTATGGTCGATCACTTGCAAGCGCAATACAGCGCTGGATGGACTGGTGAACAAGGCGCTGATGTCCGTTTGCGTGTATTCTCGTCTTTGCTGGCCATACACTGCTGTCCCATAACAGGCAGGCTGAGTGAGTTTTCTCATTAAACTCGCTTGTTTCATTTTCTATTTTAGT